TGATCTATAGGATTAAAAATGGACCTTTGGAGCATTACATATTTATGCTCAAAACACCAAACTCTTCCAAAACCTCTTTCAAAACTCATCCGAGCCCATGGGACCCCAACCAAGTATACTAACAAGTCCTGTAATATGACACAAACTTAGTTGATGCCTCAAATTATATTGAACAACACTAAAACACGGATCGCACCCCAATTCAAGCCTATTCAAAACTAACAAATTCTAAATTCTACAGTCGATGTCGAAACCTATCAAATCAAGTTCGATTGACCTCAAATTTTGCACATAAGTCATAAACGACATAACATACCTATTCAAATTTCCAGAATCATATTCCAACCTAGATATCAAAAATTCAACTCCCCTGTCAAACTTCCAAGATTAAATTTCTATTTTAGCCATTTCAAGCCTACTTTAACTACGTGCTTCCAAATAATTTTTCGGATACGCTCCTAGGTCCAAAATCACCATACGGAGCTATTGGAATCATCAAAATTCTATTCCGGGGTCGTTTACACATAAGTCAACATCCAATTAACTATTTCAACTTAAGCTTCCAACATGAAATTCATTCTTTCAAGCTAACTCTGAAATACCTTAAAACCAAAACCGACAATTCACACAAGTCATAATACCTAGTAGAAAGTTATTCAAGACTTCAAATAGTTGAAAGGAGCATAAATGCTTAAAACGATCGGTTGGGTCGTTACAACCACTGAAACCACCGAACCACGAGGCCTCTTGGCCTCCCTCTCCACACGCTCCTAACTACGGACCAGCTCTAGCCGCCGAGAAATATCAACCACCTCATTGAACCTAGTACTTGATGCATTCTCCTGAGTCATAACAAAACACAACCCATAGCTGAGGCCATCAATAAACCTTTTAATCCTCTCCCTCTCTGTGGGAACCAACCAGATCGCGTCTCGAGCCAACTCTCAAAATCTCATCTCGTACTGGGTCACGGACATACCCTCCTAGCATAGCTGCTCAAACTGCCTATGCAACTCCTTCTGGCGGGTCAGAGGCACAAACTTCTCCAAGAAGAGAATGGAGAACTCGTTCCATGAAAGTGGTACAATATCGGTTGGTCTGCTCAGCTCATAGGACTCCCACCATCTTAAGATTGTCCCCGTCAACTGAAAAGTAGTAAATGAGACCTCACTAGTCTCCATAATACCTGTTATGTGAAGAATCTACTGGCACCTATCCAAGATGTCCTGGGCATCCTCTGACTTAACCCCACCGAATGATGGAGGCTTGATCCTCCCAAACCTCTCTAGTCTCTTCTACCCCTCATCACTCATAATGGGACCCATCTGCACTTGAGAACCAGCCCCGCTGGTATCTGAAGTCCCTGCATCATCTGCTCTAGTGTACGGGCGGAGGGAGTATGAGCAAGGCTAGTGCAATCAGTCAATATCTAAGCCAAAGCCTCCTAACGGCCTGGAATAACAATGGGCATAGCTGGTGCCTGAGCTGGTCCCACCAGCTCAACCATAGCTGGAATTTTCTCCTGAGTTGGAGCAACTGGTGGGTCCACAAGTGCTGCTCTAGATATTGCACGAGCTGTACCTCGGCCTCTACCGCGACCCCGACTTCCCATGGCCCTAGCTAGTGGTATTGGTGGTCGTCTACCCGGTTTGGTATCACGTGTCCTTACCATTTGTGAGAGAATAGAATAACAGAAGTTTAGTTTCCGGAATCAACAAATTCAATGGTTCGGCAGCCTCTCGAAGATAAGTACAAACATCTCCGTATCGATCTGCAAGACTATATTAAGCATGCTCATGACTCGTGAGACCTATGTAACCTAGGCTCTGATACCAATTTGTCATGACCCAAATCTCATATGTCGTGATAGCGCCTATCGTAAAACTAGGCAAGCCGACAATCACAATAAATCATGCATCTTTAATTTTGAAACCATAATAAAATAAGCTTAAGAGTAAAATCTCGTACATAAGTGATAAGAAAAATACCACGACTCAATACAAGATCCCCAAAAATTCGGGTTTCACTAAGTACATGAACCTCTAAATGACAACATAGTCTGACTGCTAAAAACATAGTCTAGAAAGATAGAGCAGTAAAAATAACTGAAAAGAAGGAGAGTCAAGGTTTGCAAACGCCAAGGCAGATACCTCGATAGTCTCCAATAGATAAAGCTCCAAAAGCTAGCAGTCGTCGTACCCGGAAGTATCTGGATCTGCACACGAAGTGCATAGCGTAGTATGAGTACAACCAACCTAATGTACTTAATAAGTAACAAGGCTAACCTTGAGCTAAAAGCATTGACGAGCTCAACAAGTATAATCCAAATAAATAATTTAACAATACAGAAATATAGACATGCTTTCAAGTTCAACAGTTTAAGTTCAATACAGATAAAATATGCCAAGTGTGACTGAAATGAGGAATGATACATCACTAAATCTATATGTCAATTATGCATGCCAACTGTAATGCAATGCAGTGGTAAAATCATATGCATACTCTCAGAGTATCAATTCACTCAGTCTTCCTAGTCACTCAATCCTCACAATCACTCAGTCCCAACATATAGCCTAAGTATGATTTGTAACATGAATCATAACTATTCTCTAACACATGGAGAATATATGATTAATAACAAGATTATTTGACTACACAGTTCCACGGAATCAACCAAGTCATAATTTCTTCGGTGCACGCCCACACGTACATCACCTAGCACGTGTGTCACCTCAACACCAACCACATAACAAGTAATAAAGGGATTCATACCCTCAGAACCAAGTTTAGAAGTGTTACTTACCTCAAACCGTGTAAATCTCTACTCCAACAAGCCCCTGCCTCGCGATTCGGCCTCCAAATTCCTCGAATCTATCCTCAAACAACTTGATACAATCAATACAAGCTATAGGAATCAATTCCATATGAAAAGGCTAAGTTCTTTAACAAAAGTCAAAAAGTCAATTCAAAATGTCAACCCCGGGGCCACATCTTGGAATCTGACAAAGTTAACAAAATCCAAACACTCATTTAACCACGAGTCCTACCATACTAAAATTACTCAATTTCGATCACAAACTCGACCTTCAAATCCTCAATTTTAAGCCTATGAAGTTTCTACAATTTTCCCTAATTTTTTCAACCCAAAACACTAATTAAATGATAAAAATAATAATAGATTCATGTGTACTAACCAAATCCGAGTTAGAATCAGTTACCACAATCAATTCCTTAAAACTCCCCCCAAGAATCGCCTCAATCCGAGCTCCCAAAGTTCAATTATGAAATACAACTCTAACCCTCATTTTTTATATTTAAAAGTCTGCCCAGATGCACTTCTTCGCGATCGTGAGAAATGCTTCGTGATCGCGAAGCACAAATTCACAAGATGCTAAAATTACTCTCCGCGAACACGGAACTCCACACACGAATGCGATCCCCGGAATCTTCACCCTACGCAATCGTGAAGAACAAGTCGCGTGGACTCCCAGCCTCCTCCTTTCTTCTTCGCAAATTTGACCTACCATACACGTTCACGTAGCACTGCCTTCCCAAACTTCGCGATCGCATACACCTTCTCGCGAACGCATAGCATAATCCTCCACCACTCACGATCGCATATATGGAAACCAACAACAACAAAAATCAGTAGTCTTCAAAGTTCCGAACATACCAACAAGTCCTAAAATATCATGCAAACTTAGTCGAGGCCTGAAATCACATCAAACAACACTAAAAGCACGAATCGCGTATCGTTTCAAGGCTAATGAACTTCAAACTTCCAAAACTAATGTCAACACATATCAAACCAACTCCGATTAACCTTAAATTTTGCACACAAATCATAAATGATACAACGGACCTCTTCCAACTTTCGGAACCAAAATTTGAGCCCGGTAACAACAAAGTCAACTCTCAATCAAACTTCTCAACTCTCCAAACTTCCATTTTTTCAACTTTCGCCATTTCAAACCAAAATCACCTACGGACCTCCAAATCAATATCTGGACACACTCCTAAGTCCGAAATCACTATACAGATATATCGAAACTATCAAAACTCCATTCTAGAGTCATCTACATATAAGTCAACATTCGGTCAACTCTTTCAACTTAGGCTTCCAACCTTGGGACTAAGTGTCCCAACTTATTTTGAAATATTCCCGAAACTAAACCAACCACCCCAGCAAGTTACATGACAACAAACAAAAATATATGGGGGAACGAGGCTACAACACTCAAAACGACCACTCAGGTCGTTACAAAATTGAGATCAGTCATTCTAGTTGTTGTTATAATATAATGTTGTTATACTAAACATAATCAACAATTGGATATGAAATAGAAAGTCAAGACGTATTAGTCTACGACATAAGAAAGTTTGGATTGAAATTTCATGACAATGAAAAGAGTCTTGGAATATTTGAAATATACTCAACCGATTCTAAACAGTCGGTGAAAGAGCGATGTCATGAAAATCGTCCAAACAAACGTGCATTTACAGCTCTACAGTGGAGGCTGAGTTTACAGCCTTTGACAAGGCCAGTGAAGAAGTTGAATGACTCCTAAATTTTCTTGACGATATTTCATTTTGGCCCAAATTGTTGGCAGATATATGCATATATTGCGATAGTCAAGCGGCAATAGGAAGGGCGATGAACATTATGTATAGTAGGAAAACATGTCATATACGATGAAGGTATAAACCGTTAGACAACTATTCCACTGCAACAAAAAGGGGATTTAGCAGTAATTATTTTACAGCAATAAACCAATTGTTGTTAATTTATTGATGGAAGACAAATATTAGCGGCCATAAATATTAATCAGTAACTAGTATATTTTTAGTGGCCATTCAAAAGAATAGACGGTAAAATTATGGCTTTTACTTTTAATATTGCTTCCAATTTCTATTATTTCCTCTAAATCTTTCCCGCCTAAATATATACCCCTTAAATAGCCTAAAGACTATTAAAAGAAATCTGGAATTACCTTAATTGAAAAACCCCAAAGGCCCAAACTAAGCAAATCTCATCCGCTAGCGCTGCAACACAAATTCGTCGGCCACCCTAACAACCAAAAGTGTCAGTAAGTTTCTATCTCTATCTTTAGTGTTTGATTTTGTGCGTGTAGGGTTGATTAAAACTTTCTAATTGGTTGGGTCTATCGCTTTGATTGTCGAATATCTATTCACTGAACGAGTATCGTATCTCTTTCTAGTTTGGAATTGACGAATCTATGGCATGGTTTTGAATTAAACAAACTATTAATTTTTATAGTATATTATTTATCTGGCATCATGGATGTATCCAAGATTTAAACTCTATGAGTTCAAATTATAAAGTTTTTAATAAATTTTTATATATAGATTTTTACTCCGCATCGAAAGTTATGAGTTCAATGGAACCCGTTCCGAACCAACTACATCCGCCCCTGGCTAGCATTGTTCTTATACTTCGTCCGTTTCAATTTATGTAAATCTATTTTCTTTTTAGTCCGTCCCAAAAAGAATGACCTTTTTCCTTATTTGGAAATAATTTACCTTTATGAAATGCTTTATAGCCACACAAAATATATGTGCTTCATTTTACACCACAAGTTCAAAAGTCTTCTCTTTTTTCTTAAACTTCGTGCTCAGTCAAATAGGTTCACATAAATTTGATTGTTCCTATATTCTAGATCTATAGTTGTTTATAGAAAAGCTGGTTTGAGCAATTCAAGATAAAATTGGGGTTGAGCCAGAATAAGTTTTATTTTTTAATTTTTTTTATAATATATATTTTAGAATTGTAATTATCTGTCAAAGCTTGGGTTGTCTGCGTAAGGAGGAATAGGTTGAACATGAACAAATACTAGTTTATTTTTCAGAAAATCTAAAATTAAAATATCAAATCATGTGTGTTGTGATAAAAAGTCTATCCAGTGAGTTCTGACATGCTGATATTTGACCTTAAGAAAAAAGTTCACCATTTTTTATGGTCTTTCCTTCAATCAACTACGAGAATGCCAAGAAATCACTACTAAGTAGTAATGTACTATAGTATTTAATATAACCCATGTCTTACAGTGGTCGCGTGACTTGTTTAGCTGCCTTCTTCATACTTCATGCACTCGGTTCTAATTTATAAGTCTTGTTTATTTTGTCCATGTCAATAGGTATGCAATTTTCTTCAAATCTAAATACCACAGTATGATGATATATTTCTTTTGAGATGGAAGTTTTATGGTTCTTATTACTTTGCAAGATTTCAGTAAGAATTTGTAAAATTTATGGCCCTTTATGGTAGTTGAATACCAAACCAGTTTCCTTTCCCCATAAAACTTCATGTCTCAGGTTCCAATTTCATCTTATTAATCGCGACACAACTTGTGAGATATATTCATTATCTTTCTGAATTGGACTATCATAATCCAAAATAGAATAGCCATAGTTGTTGCTAGTACTAATTTTTATAATACTGCAATATCTAGTTGTTAAGATTTTGTAAACCTGCAATTGATCCATGTATTCTAAGTTAGTTGGGAAGACAGTTGAATGGAAAATTCATTAAGGTTAACAATTTTGTTATAATCAGTATTATTCACCCATCTTCTTTGTTATTCATACTTTTCCCGTTCAAATAATAAGTTTGATGTAATTCCTTTTTTGAGAAGTGATTGGGAAAATTTTTGATTGTTATATCTATAATTTTTGTGCTATGGATTTATGCATTAAGAAGATGATTTCGTTAGTATTTAAAGGCAATTTCTTAATGCAATTCCAATTTTGAGAAGATGATTTAGCTAGTATTTGATTAGTTAAGTATTTTGTCCTTGAGAGTACATGATTAACTGCTAAGAAAATTAGTTTATGCTTGCAATAGATTAAACTTATGAAACGCTGGCAATATAATGATATCAAGTTTTTTGTGTTGCCTACGTTGTTTATTTTGTCATTTAAATTGACCAAGAAAATGTCGCGCTTTTGTAGTACTTTCTTAGGATTGTTATTTCTTTTAACTTAATAAGAAACTATCATGCTTGGTGTTCAAGTTCTGTTTTTTCTCCATCTTCTCTTTTCATGTAGATTTCGATATTATTACTGGCATCGTTCTTTTCCTTCACTTTCTTGTCTTCATCGGCAAAGTATTCTGCTTCCCAGGTACACAAACATTTGATACTACTGTTTGATTTTTCTACTATTTGAGTTTTTCACCTTTGATTTTTAGTAATTTTTTATTATATTTGGGATTACCTTGGATGCTTCTCACTTTTATATATATATATATATATATATTCCACGGTTGTTGATGTAGTAAGGTTGTGATAGTAGTGAATAATTTTAAAGATAATATTTTTCATGATTGTGATTATATGTGTAATATAATTGTATCCTTCTTATGTACCCACATAGTGAAAGGATTATTTATTTATTTATTCAGTTAAATGGACATCATTTTCTGTCTTTAAATCAATTCATATTTTCATACTTGAATTCTTGGGATGGTTGACAAACCTATAACTTTAAACCCGAAAGTCGATCACAACAAGTGTGTTGAATCTTTGTTGGGTAAGTTTGAACCTCCACTAATTGCACAAAGTATTTGCATTTCTTGAGACCAGATGCTGGTAAATATTCTTTTTTGATAAGGTAATGTAAATTAAAACTTGTTTAAACCTTTGTTACACTGTACTAGAATCGGCTTTAGAGACATTTAGTGTTGTTGTTTTTGCCATATAATTTGAATAGCACAAAATATTTGTTGAAAAGGAAGAGTTTTTACCCATCCTTTTTTTGATACGACTACCTATTGTGATGTTTGTGGAATTGTTGAACTTCGGTGTTATAGTAGAAAGTTCATTTCTGAATAACATCACATTTTATACACTTGTTTCAGTTGATACAAAACCAATTTTTCAATCTCTAATACTAATTATCACATGTCACCTATAACCAACTAAACTCTTATGTTTCAGAAAATGCTTTTTCAATTTAAAAGTTTCTAATGGAAAACTTTTGTTTGCATGCCTAGTGCACCCAGAACTGAAGTTTTTATCAGAAAACAGTTATAGTTATTTTATTAACTTTATATATTTGCATTTCTTGGAATTATAGTTATTTTAAGTTCTTATCAGAAAATAATTATTCTTAAGTTAGCTATAATTTCTAGAGATATTTAATTTCAACTATTTGCGACACATACAGTATGATTATGCCCAGGGTTTTGTCAAGGCCTAATGTGCATAATTTTCTGTCACCTATTTGGGAGCTTCAGTAATAGCATGTAAGCATAATCTAGTATCCATATATAAGGAAAAGAACTTGGTGACTATAACATTTGCTAATGAACTTGGGTGTAGCTTCTTTTTACTTCTCCAAGCTAATACTCCTTTTGATTTTTTCGGTTTCTTCTCTATCACAACAAAGAAAGAAACTCTCTTTCATTGTTTGCACATCCATTTTGCTCCTTTACTAATCCATCTGGTTGTTAGTGCTTATAAATTTTAGGTGAGAAGTTGGTTGAAAATGAATCTGATAGTGATGGAGTCTTCAAGATATTTTTTTCACAGTATATTCCATCTTTTGACAAGTGGAACACGAACCTATTTCCGCTATTCCGGATTCTTATTAAACGTAGCAAAATTTATTTTATAATTTCAGGTCATACAGTCTGATGTTCGATAATTTAGCAGGTGGAAGATTTCAATGTGATGAAAAGTTGTAGAAATTATTTGATGACTATCATTCGTCAAGATTAGTTTTATAATGACATTAGCTATTTAGTTCAAACAATATAAGTTTATTTTTAAAGTTACTATGGCATTAATATATATTTGATTAGTACTTACTTTTACTTGTTAAAATTTATTGAGATATATTATATTTCTTGAATTAATATTAATATATTTTATTGTTTGGATCATATTCTGGATGAATGTAGTAACTATTATTAATGGTGGCTAAATTATTGTTATTACAGCTAGTGACTTTTAGCGCTAATTTAAATGGACGATAAAAGAAAGAGTTAAGACATTTTTACCAGGGATATTGTATTTATAATTAGTGGAAAATAATTGTTTTAAAAATATTGACTTTTAGTGACAATTTAGTTGAATATAACAACCATTAAAATAGACACTTAAAGGGAATACTATAGCCATTCTAGTTGCCACAACACGATTGTCGTTAAATATACGAACTATTAGCGGTAATTATTTTGAATGCAGCGACTATATAAATGGACGCTATAGGAGCATAATTAGCTGTTTTAGATTGGATTTACCATCCATCATAATTGTTGCAAACAATTGCTTTTACAATGTATAGTTTTTAGCGGCAATGACTCATACCGTTTACCAGCATTTGTGACAATGACCGCTAAAGGCTTTACCGATCCCGGCTTCAGCGGCTAAAGAACACTAGTCGGTAAAGGATATAGCGGCAATTGTTATTGCCGCTAATGACCTTTTGTATTGCCGCTAAATATCTTTTTTGTTGTAGTGAATTCCCTAGGGGAATTATCTTAATTGACTACGTGAAGTCAAGCGATAATGTGTCGAATCCACTTATAAAAAGCCTAACTAGAGAGGTAGTTGAAAGATCATCGAGGGGAATGAGACTATGGCCGAGAACAAGTCACTGTGGCGGTAATTCTACCTAGAAAACTGAAGATCCCATGATCTAGATTCAAGGAGATCAAACAAAGTCATTAATAATGGTTCAACATTGTCAAACAAAATTTTAGTTCATTCTTGTGATGAATACAATGTTCAGTACCAAAGATAAATCGTTAACGCTTTTTAATGATTTCTAAGTTTGATGTGGAGTATATCAAATAGTGTATCTACGGGATAACACATTTAGGAATCACTTATGTAAGTGTGAAGTGTTAGCTGCATCAAGGAGAATTCTGTAAGGCCAATTCTCTATGCACTTATGAACCAGGTGGTGTTCATGGCTGAAACGAACACAACAATGAGAACCAAAGACGATTAAAGGGTTGATTGTGTGATTTATGGATATCTAGGTATACACCAAAAATCGACTCTTCAAAGATATCAAATCTACCAATTAACCGAGTATATCACACATAAGTTCACTATGAAAAGTTCAAATGGGAACCTACTTATCCAGATGCGATTAATCCTTATTTGTGAATCACACAGTTTTCATGCATGATTTTATTCCATTCCCCATTCATGTGGGGTTCGTTGGGTTTTTTTAAAGGGTATGAATGTGAAATGTAAGAAGCACCTTTTGGATTGCACCTCTTTTCTCATCCTTTCATTGTCTATAAATTTAGAGGTTTGACCTCATTTTTCATACATGGAAAATCTAAAAACTTGTCTCCCCCTTTCTACATTGCTGCATTATTTTCCAAATAAGCATAAGTATCAAGTGTGATTTGTTCTGTTTGTTGAGTTCGCTAAATTGCTGTGATTTGTAGTGCTGTTATCACATAATAGTTATTCGTTGTTATCCTAGGAGGAATTAATCCAAAACCTTGGGCAATAATGAGGAGATTAATTCCTTAAGGACCTACAAGTAACTTGTGGGCTCAGAATTATTTTATATTTTGTTTATTGAACTAATGTTTCTTTGCTTCTCTCGTTTTCGAACACAGGATACCATATATATATATATATATATAGTCCAAAACCTTGGGTGATGAGATTAAATTTCTTAAGGACATACAAGTAACTTGTGGACTCAGAATTATTTTATGTTTTATTTATTGAACTAATGGTTCTTTGCTTCTCTGTTTTTCTGGTTTTCGAAAATAGGATACCATATATTCATCCAACTTATAACCGTACTATTACAACTGTTATTCCTAAATGGTAACCTTATTAACGTGTCTCCGACACGCGTCGCCTTATGGCGCCATCAGACGGGACTCAAGAGGAGCGTATCGAACATAATTCTGATGCTCTCACTAAGACGATTCAGTTGACAGAGGGAATTTCTGAGCAACAAACCTTCGCCACTACTGTGACGTCTGCTACTACTACTCTGATGGGCAACACTCGTCACCTACGAGAATCTGTGATAGCGAGGCGTGCCACACACAATGGGATGTTTGCTGTTATCTTCAAGACAAAGGATTACTATGGCATTATGGCGGACGAATGTCGTCTGACAATCGTTGGCAGATTTTTGAAGCCCAAACCCCAAATTGAACGAATTAGGGCTACTTTCAGGGAAAAGTTTCTTGTGATTCTATGAAAATTGGAGTCTACGACAATTATAATATTTTTTTAGAATTTACAGATGAGGATGATTTTAACTCAGTTTGGTATAGAAGGGTGGTTAAAGTCGATGGCCTCCAGATGTGGTTACAAAAATGAACATCGGATTTCAAACTGGATGAAGATATTTCGATAGTGCCGGTATGGATCCTTCTCCAGAGCCTCCCTTTTAACATGCATACATGGCACTACTCTAAGAAATTTGTATTGTAATTGGCACACCTTTGTCCTTTGACGCTGCTACTGGTGGTCGTACTAGGCCTAGTGTTGCTAAGGTAAGGGTAGAAATTGATCTTCTCAAATCACAAATAGAGAGTGTATCGGTAGGATCAGAGAATGAGAACTCAGCTTTGAGGGAATTCATACAAAAGAATGAATACGAGAGCATCCCAAAGTATTGCGAGCATTGCAAAAAGCTAGGCCATAATATGATGAATTGTAGAGTTCTCGAAAAATTAAGAGATTTAGAAGCAGAAAAAGCAACAATGATAAGAACATGGAGAATTCTGGGGAGGGAAGCAGTGGAGTTCAAAAAGAGAACAATGAGAATCAGAGAATTAATGTAGAGCTAACTCCAGATGCATCAAACAAAAAGACTGGTACTAAAGTTAAGAAATCTGGAAAAAAAAGGAAAGACAAGACTACTAAAGTTTCCAAGAATGTAGAAACACAAAACAAAAAGGAAGATGAATGAGAGCTAAACATTCAACAAAATGAGGAGAAAGAGGCACAGTCTATAGTAGATAAAATTAAGAAATAGAGTAAGAAGAAAAAGAAAAAGCAGAAGAAAATGCCAAAAAAGAAGAGCAAAGTTCTATTCAAACCAGTTCATACTCAATTTAAAGCCCTTAAGGTTCAAAATCTGATATTAGTCAGAGACGAAAAGAGTAGAACAAGTAGCACTACCAATGAACAACAAGGTACTCACACTGCAAGCAATGAATCTATTTCGAAAGTCAAGAAAAGTACCATATCTGATCACATAAAAGAAATACAAAAGGTTACTAATATGGAGGAAAGGGAAGCTCAGGATTCAAACAAAAATCCACCAGCAGGCTCAAAAGAAGAGGAAAAATCAGATAAAGATAAGATGAAGGAAGGAAATGAGACTCACGATCAAATTGAACCTGAGAAAGACAAAGATGCTGAAACAAGCTCGTGTTCTTCAAGTCTCCCAACATACATCCGTGAACACCTATGTATTAATATTGTTGTAAATTTAAATGCTAACCAACTTAGTCTTGCAGAAGCCAACTCAGGAGGACTAACATTAAATCATCTAAATGAGGATCCCATCTTACACCAAGCTGCTCAAGGACTTCAACAGAAATAGAATAATACTCGAAGGGAAGGGAACTTAGATGAAGAAGCTTATTTGAAAGAAGGAAGAGGAAGAAGCAGAGTAAGATAAAAAAAGAAGCAACAAAAACAACAACACACCTTCTCTAAGGAGGAAACAAAAGAATGGTACCTCTCCTCAAGTTTTCCATGATTATCACAATCTTTTGGGACATTAGAGGAGTGAGGTCTAACAAGGCCATTCATAGGCTCTAAAAACTCGTAGACATAAATAATATCCTTTTTGTTGCTATCATGGAACTCATGGTTAGCAAAGATAAAATTGAGGAATATCGTAAATTTCTTGGTTTTAAAGAATGCATATCCAACAATAATGGTAAGATTTGGTGTTTCTGGAAGAACCTCAGTCTAACCACTATTATTGCAAACGAAGAGCAACATATTTCTATAAAGGTTGAGGATGGTCTGGATAATCCCATTGTTGTTATCACAGCAATCTATGCCAAATGTACTTCCAGAGAAAGAAAAGACTTATGGATCAGCCTAGAGGATATCGGCCTAGCAATTCATGGCCCTTGGTGCATTGGAGGTAACTTCAATGTTATCTTGGAGCCAGTGGATAAACTTGGAGGTAGGCCTCACATAACGCACATGAGTATAGATTTTAAATGTGCATGGACAGTTGTGGAGTAATAGACATTGGTTTCTCAGGACTTAAGTATACATATTGCAACAATTGAAGGCCTAGGAAAAGAATTTAGAAAAGACTAAATAGAGTCTTCATCAATGACAAATGGGCTCAAAGATTCCAAAACACCACTATCAAACACTTAGTGAGAACTGGTTCTGATCACAGGCTTGTACTCATTAAATATTTTGATACTGTCAACAATCACATAAAGTACTTCAAATTTCTCAACTTCTGGACTAAACAAGATGGTCTTTTCGAGCTTGTTAAGGAAGTATGGGACACTCAACTCAATGGTAACGATATGTAGAAGCTTCGGACAAAGCTAAAGCTTCTTAGCAAAAGACTCAATCAATGGTCAAGAGAAACTATTAGGAATATTTATGAACACGTTATTAATTGGGAAGAAAAAGTGCAAAGGCTTGAAGAGCTGGAGATTGCTAGTAACACTGAGGATAAGAGGGCAGAGACCACTAAAGCTCATGCTGAATACATTAGGTGGCTGACCATGCAGGATTCCCTGATCACCCAAAAGGACAATATCAATTGATTTGAGGAGGGAGATAGAAATACC